AACACAACAATTTAGTAGGTACTACACATAATAATTAGAATAAATATAAAAAAAAATAAATATCTGGGTCCCCTGCTTCCTCCTCAAAACCCCTTCGGAAACGAACGATTGGACACTCTGATGCCTTCGTTGCATTCGAGAGATTCTAGCCAATTGCACCTTATGATGAACAAGTAGACTATTCAAAGTATGTAAGAAAATTCTTATGGTTATTAGAAGGCGGCAGAACCTATTGCAAAGATCTAAATTACAGAGAGCATTTTGACTGTTTAGACTGCAACTCGCGCGTCTTCATCAAGAAAGAAGAGATGATTTGACACTTCAAGTGGCATAAGAAACGCGACGAGTCGTTGCAGTCCGCTGGACGACTGCAGTGATTGCTATGCGAATTGTTCCCACAACAAAAAACAATAAATAGATACCTGATTAATTTATAAGAATTTTATTAAGGCAAATTTCTACACCACCATTGAGAGATTGTAAAGACACGTTACCTTTTTTGCAGGTGGATGTAAGTAAGCTTACCAAAAATTCAACAAGTCTCAAAAAATTTCGCACAATACATTTATCGAAAACAGTTCTTGAAATCGCGAAAGATGTACGATTTGCGAATTTGCGTCGCACTAATAGTGATTATTATTATGAAGATAATTCAAAATTCTGTCCCGCGTGAAGCAAATTTGTTTGTAAACAACACCCAAAATAATAGGCAATGCAGTAGTTTTCCTTCGAAATCATCGATACAAATCCACACGCGGCTGAAAATTAGTTTAAAGCAAGGCTTGCACTTGCTGCAAATGATAATGAGTAATAGTAAGGATGGAGTAATTATTCCTTTACATGCCACACTGTTACATGAGAGGAATCAACGTTTCCTGCTATTTCGCGTGTAGTATTTTAGGGGTTGTCTTCTGTGAAGCTTGCTACTTATTTTAGAAACATCCTGTCCCTGTATCCCTTATCTTTCCCAATAATACTTTCTAAGCATGTCTGTTAAAAAATAAATGAATAAAAATAAATAAATTAAGAAAAAGTAATGTGTTAAATAAAATAACTCGAATAAAATAATGCGAAGTGGTCTGTATTTAGTTTTTAGTAATGTGTTAATTAAGGAGGATCTAACTTTGTTAAATAAGTACTTATAGCGAGATATATACTTTTGGGATTGTTAATGGACAAAGTGATAAGGGTTGAATGTGGTTTTAGCAATCATAACGTAATAGAGGTTGTTTTGAATAAGGGTGGAAGGTGTTGGACTTAATGTGGACGAGGATTTAGAGCATCGATATAGACGTTAACTAAGGAGAGGGTATTGGTTAAAAGTAAAGAAGTTGATTGGAGATATTTTGTGAGTTCGACTGGGAATGACAATCCAAGGGGTAATGTATGTTTTTATGTATATGTATAGGATATGTGTAGGGAAGTGAGGTGGTGGTGTGTTGAGTAACCTGAGAGTTGATAATGCGAAAATGGTGTGATGGAAAGAGAGAATGGGGACCCTGTTGAGACAATTTTTTCCTTGGGAGGTGAGATATGATCGAGAAAAGGGGTGAATGTCGAGTGGCAGTGACAAAGGAGATAAGAACGGTGAAAAGGGGCCAACCCCAGGGAATAGAGGTTTCCCACAGAGTATTAAAGGTGGTATGGAAGAGTGCTCGAGTTATGCATGTTTAATGAAAGTGTGAGATAGGGATCTTTCCCTAATGAGTGGAATGAAGTCGTTGTTCTGTTGAAGAGTTAGGAAAGACCACGAATTGATATTGCCTCGTAGTAACTTCCTTGTTTGCTATCGGTGATGGGAAAGGCATTAAAGAGGGTACTGATGAATAGGTTGAATGATAAATTAGAAGAATGAAGGAGTGACGGGCAGTATGGTTGTAGATGCAGCAGGAGTACGTTGGATGTTCGGGTGAAGGTGAACAAGTGGGTAATTCTTGACGGAAATAGGTTCATGGTCGTTTTGTTGACTTTATGAGTACGCTTGACTGGCTGAGGTGGGAATACTTGCAAAGAAAATTGATGAATGTAGATTGAATATGTGCAATGATTAATTTTAGTGACAGGCACGTGAGTATTATGGGAAGGCATGAAGAGATAGGAGTAATGTGGAAAGGTGATATTTTAAGAAGACAGGAAAGATGCAGAATTACATATCAGTCTTTGAAGGATGTGAGATGGGTGACGGGATTTGAATGGCTTGAGTGGACTTTAAGACTTATGTATTTGGTAATCGGGCAAAGCTCGATGAATAATTGTGAATAGTGCGGAAGGAGGGAGGATTGGGACCAAATACTATTGAGATGTGTGGAGCGTAATACATGTTGATAGGTGAAAAGTGGGATGTGAGCAAGAGAATATAAGGGTGTCTGCACGGATGGTCTTTAATGAAAGATAATGGAACAAAAGTAACGTGATAAAGCTTTAAAAAGTAAGAGGATAAACGGGTACGTAAATCATAGAAGAGGAAGAAGTTGATTGTAAAAAAGGATATGGTGAAATTGAGAACTCACAGAAAGATTGGAAGGAAGGCAAACAGAGAAGTTGTTAAAGAAGGTGATTAATGTAGCGATTCAAAGTGTGAATTCCGCTGAACCTAGCGGTTCTGTGGAAAAATCGCCAGGGTTTCGAAAATCACTTACATTTGTAATTGAATTGTTTAATTATTTTGACTGTCAATAATTTCATCGTTATAAATATTATTTTTTTGCCCAAGTCTTGAATTATATTAAACTCTGAGAAATAATTGCTGTCAGGTGCAGACAACGCACTGAAAGCAACAGGTTACAATGTTAATTATATCACATTCATTTGTTTTTGTTGTAATAATTAATAAATTACATCGTCAATATAAACAGGCAAACAGGACAATAAGTCGGATAATGCCTAGTTCCCTCCCATATACCTACTGTTTTTAATTAGGGTTAAAATTTTCGGTATGTCGAATTCCCTCCTAATTATAAGTACATCAATTGCCTCCCATCGGCTAAAACTAATAAAGTTTTTCTAGATGATTGCTTAACTTCCCATGCGTCAAAAATCTTAACTAGAATTGTACAGAGGAGGATGGAAAAAAGGGAGGAAGAACTATTAGGGGAAGATCAATTTGGGTTTAGAAGAAATAGAGGAACGCGGGAGGCCATTCTAGCTTTACGGGTAGCAATAGAGAAAACGATAGAAAAAGGAAAGAGTGCGTACATAGGATTTGTAGATTTAGAGAAAGCTTTTGACAATGTTAAATGGGACAAGATGTTAAATATACTT